TAATCAGAACTCGACTAGAGGAAGATTACAAAAATCTTTTTTTTTATAAAGGAAACAAGGGTAAATTGATACAATCTGATGAACCTGACCTATACTCAGAAAGGTAGTTACTCTAAATACCAAGAGAGGGAAGGAGCCTTAACATCAAGTATCAATGATATCCCCTCTGTACACAGAGTAGATAGGGGTGAGCAACTTAGACATTGGCTACCTAAAATGAGGAGGCAATAAAGGCATGAAATGACTGACTTACAAGGTTTCAAGAGGGAGTTTAGTTTAAGAGTATGGGGGAAAGAAAGAGTCTTCACTGAATAGATTTCATCTTGTCTAAAAGGGTCTGGTTAAAAGAGATGTGGATAAGATTTGTATGATTCAATAGTGAATAACTGTTAGCATGACTAATTGCGACTGTCACAACTGTAAAGGTAGAAGTTTTGTAACAACAGGGAAGTAGTTAATCTTACAGTCCAGAAACAGAGGATCCTAGGACCATCAAGGGAGAAGCCCACAAGCGGAATGCAGGATCTTATCCAGAGCAGCAGCGAGGCCAGAGACCAGAGGCAGAGATGGGGTCATGGAGAGGGGGAGTGGTTGAGGACTCTAGATTTTTGGGAAGAGAGGGACCAGGAGGCAGACTTACAGAATGTGTCCTTTGGAGCTGGTGACCAGGAGGCAGACTTATAGAATGTGTCCTTTGGAGATGTAAATTATTATATATGCCTGAGTGGTTTTTTTGTTTTTAAAAAAGCTTAAGTGGATAGAAAGAGATACTGTTATCTCTCAATTATAATCACTGAAATGAACCAACGTGTATGATTTGGGAATGTAAAACTGATGAGCTGCCCTGTAAACTTTCACTTAATCCACAATAAAAACCTTAAAAACAAACAAACAAGCAAATATTGTTGCTGTTGTTAAGTCCCGTCAAGTTGGTTCTGATTCATAGCGACCCTGTATAGAGTTTCTGAGGAGCAACTGGTGGGTTTGTACTGCTGTATCTTGTTGTTGGCGAAAGCTG